CTATATCTCTATATATCTCTCTCTAAAATTAAAAAATTTTTTTTTATATCTCTATATATATTTCCTAAACAAATTTAAATATATATATAAAAATATATCTTTTTTTTTCTCTCTCTCTCTCTCTCTCTATTTATATATATATATATATATTTTTATATATATATATATATAAAAAAAATATACATATATATATATATATATATATATATATATATATATATATATATATATATATATATATATATATATATATATATATATATATATATATATATATATATATATATATATATATATATATATATATATATATATATATATAATATCACGAACATAATTTAATTCAAAATAAAATATAAAACTATTTTATTTAAACAAAATTTCCGAGTTGAGTAGATTTACGTTTACCTCAAGTGTGTCGAAAGACCTCTTAAGATGCTCAACATCCGAATCGAAATTGGCAATATAAAGCATAGCATCAATCCTCTTAAATGCGAAAGGAATATCGAGCACCGCCTTGAGAAACGCCTCCGCGCTACCTAACTTAAACGGCGATTCGTCTTTGAACTCCTTCAATTTTCGCTCTTCCTCTTTAGTCGGCGCCATCTTTATTAAACTCTCTAGTAGCTCCGTACCAAGTGCATCGGCATTTCCTATTTCATCAATTTAAAAAATAAATAATGATATACATATACAGTTAAACCTCTATAAATTAATAGAGTCGCGACTAGGGAAATTCTATTAATTTAGCAAAATTATTAAATTATCGAATTAATAATTTAACATGTTTTCACCGAGTCGGGACCGAGAGAAACTATTATTTAATCGAGGTTATTAATTTATCGAGGTTCTACTGTATATAAAATAAAAAAATACTTAAAACATGTAGTCACCTTCTAGAAGCGCTTCACAAACTTCGTCGACGGTTACATTAAGAGCGCGCAATAGAATAGAAATGTTTTGGGATTTCTTCGGGTCGAGTACGAGGGTTTCTTGGTTCAATTCTTGAAATATATGACGTCGTACGCCGTCTTTCGAATTCGCATTAGTGGAATTCACCATAAATAGAGTCTCGATCATTTCTTCGTTGAGCCTACAAATCGAAATCGGCACTCCAAAAACTTTAAATCTAATAAAAGAAAATCCTTATGCAGATAAAAAAAAAACCTCTATAAATTAATGCAGTCGGGACTCGGGACTAACAAAATTCTATTAATTTTTAGCGGAAGATTATATTAAATTATCGAACTAATAATTCAGTACGATTTTTACCGAATCGAAAAAAGAATCTTACTGAAAAGAACTGGATTTAAGCTGATCCCAAACCATAGCTCTGTCTGAACAAGCTCTAACTTTATCCCAATGCAAAGGCTTCAGCTTTGGCTTCATTATTTCTTCATTTTTTAAAATCTCGGGTGAAATACCGAGACTACCCTTCTCCCCATTCACGTTCTGTATAGCTTTCCTGGAGGAAGGTGCCACCAGCTCCGGCGGCCCAGTTGGTGGGGCGTACTCCCAGAATCTCGCCGTAGGCGGCGGCGGTGGTGGTGGAGGAGGCGCTGCTTTTCCTATGCCGGAAAAATCGGAAGCACGAGGACAGCAGTCGCGTGTGCTGGCGCCGTCGGTGGATGATGGTGAAAATACCGAAAATGCCCTTGGTGGCTCCCGCGGTGGTGGAGGAGGGATGAACCGCGGCGGTGGGGCCGTGGGGAAGTTGACTAAGCTGTCTGGTGATTTTGATTGTATGCTTTGTGGGCTGCCGGAGTTGAGTACGAGTGATGGGCTGTTGTCGGCGGAGGAGTTGCAGTTCAGTG